TTATGAAAATGTAGTCACTCTACTTATCACGTGATTCAAAACAATATCGCTAACCGTGTTTGTTGGCCCAACATTGATTGGAATCTGTCTTTTTTTTTTTTTTTTTTTACTAAATAAAAATAATATCTGGTATGATGCTATTTAAATCCTTTGTGACCGCAGCAATAACTTCATTAATTTTTAATTTTAACTCTAAATATTATTATGTCGTTTCATATCGCTTTTTAAAGCAACATTTCTTCGATGTTAATAAGGTGAGATTTTGCCGGTAAGATCGATAACAGCCATTGTGTGTGTAGAATAAAAAACGTTACTTTTTTTCACTAGTAATTAGTTTCGTATTTATTAATTCGATTTTATCCCAGTATTCATTATGTATGTTTCTATAACCGAGAAAGGAAATCATAGTATTTTGGCGTATGTATTTTTCAAAAGAAAAGACTCAATAATTAGTAATAATCTAACAACGTTCAGTTAAATTGGTGGCACACGATGCCGGTACTTCGACAATCACTGTGGCGGCTGATATGGAAGCTGGCAGTTTAAGTAAAAGGTTTTTAAGTGGAAAAGAACATGAAATCGAAACGTATCAAAAATAATCTGGCTGATTTTAGGTTACTTGCACTGTAGTCAATTGTATGAGTCAATAATGTCTCTAAACCCCCTTCATTTGGTCTTCTGCCGAAAAGTCGACCCCAGATATCAGGCCATACGATATATAATCATAACATTACCGATGCGCAAAAATCATGCGGATGGTGGGTTTTCATTTTAACTCCTCCTACATTTTTCCGGTGCTCCTCCCACATACCATTTGCTCCGCCCATGTAGCCAATTTACAGGTGGTTCGGTTTCACAAATATACTCCGATCTTATAATGATTTTCAATCACCTTTTAAAGGATAAATGTGAACTCAAAGTGTACATTTTGTCCGTACACACTTTTTCCATGACTAAAAAATAAAATAAAATGCATGATCGAATCTTTAAATGACAACCAGTTAATTTGTTAGAATGTTTTACAACATTCTGCTCTTTTTGGTCATTTTCTGTTGTCCATTAGCAAATTTTAAGTTGGATGGTTTTTTTAACGACTCTAACAAATGATTTAGAATAAGTGTGTGCGTGTTAAAGATATCACAAATGTTCTCTATTACTTCCCATCGAACTTTGATTGTTTATTCGACTTTTCGTTTTCTCTCCGTCGTTAATAATACTTTTAGGAATATCAGATGAAAACATATTGTCCTTTGTAGGCTGCGCCGTTTTGTAGAACCGTTTGCTTTTCATTAACCTCTAAAGATGTTAACCTGGGCGTGACGCGATGATCGGGCACAGCCACTACCACCTGTCCTGTCAAAACTTTCATTATGTCCTTAAAATACTGTTATGTATGCTGGATTTTCTGATAGGCAAAGCAAAAAAGATTTCAAAGTGGATGGTGAGATGTTTCATTAAATGCACGGCGGCTTCATTATTTCAAAAATTCTACAAATGGAAACTAGTAAATTTCAAGCCATTATAAAATCCTTTCTTTAGCAATACATTGTCCGTTATTGCCATCAAACAGTGAACTGGTCTTCATATTTGCGTGGAAGATAGTTTTGATACATTCAAATTTAACAATTCTAGGACCAACACAATTTTTTTTATTGGTATCTATCTCTTCGATTGCTGTTTTTTACTCAGTAGTTCTAGATTCGAGTTAAATGTCAAGACAACCTTTTTTTCAGCGCTCCACGTTGAGGAGTAAGGACTCTCAATCTTATCCATTTTGAAACACTCTTTTTCGAAGAGTAGGGACTCGCTAAAGTAGAGTTTGTAGAGCTATGCGTAATTAGCTACTCGCTGCCAATGTACCCAAATACATCAGACGACAGGGTGTCTAGAGAAAAAAGACTGCATTCATTCTGTATCTGTAAAAACGTGTTTAGTTTCAAAACTGACATTACACGAGATGTCCAAAGAATCTAAACTTAACTATGGCGCGATCTGGTTTGAACTCTTTAAATACACTTCTCGTTATGGTAATTTCCTAAGCGTAGCTTAGATGTGACACAAAAGTGTGGAGCACTCAATGAGAATTGAACTCACTCTTCAGTCGTAATTAATCTAGCTAGCAGGACAAGCTTGCTAACCATTACTACACCACGTCGAAGTGCCCATACACTTCTCGTTATGCAACGTTTTGTTTCAGATAACGATGACAAAGCTGACAATTTTCTTTCACGAGAAGAACTAATACAAATAATGGATGTTTTATAGTTGAATTTCAAAATTTACATTTGCTTGACTCTCTTCGCTACTTTAAGAAAATAATTTTTCTCTTATGTACAGGATTAGAAAACATTAGGTTAAAATCAGTTCAGTGTTCTCTTCATGCAGTTTAGGTACAAAAATGATAAAACTGTCATTGCTGATAAATAGAGAAAGGTTTCTTTCTTTTCTGACTATTAATAATTGCCAAAAAGAAAAGTTAACATAAGAAACGGGTGAGAATGGATCTTAAATAGCTTAAGTTTTCTAAAGTTTGAGATCAGTTCAACGTTATTCTACAAATGCTTCATTAAATGCCATTTAATATAATTTAGTTATGACACCATTAAAATAATAAACCATTTTCCTTTCCTTATATGAAGGGGACTTATTTCTCCAGTCTCACAGTAAAGAAGAGGAATCAGAATGAAAAAAGCCGTAACTTTTACGACTCCATTGAAATCTCTTTTTATTCTTTCCGTTTTTTAGTCTTTTTTTTTTTTACAACTCTCTTCCAACCACTCTGTTTTATTCTAATAAAATGTTTGATACTTCCATATTAAATAGGTGTTGTAATTATTGATGCCTTATTTTTGTTTTGTTTTTTTTTGGGGGGGGTATGTTTATTGGGTTCGTCATTTACGTGTTCCGCGAATGCAATCTGGTATCAAAGTTGGTATTGTTCGACAAATTTGTATTTATTGAAACTTTTCACAAATTTCTCCAAGAAAACTAACTTCAAGCTAATGTGAATAATAGTCATTTAAGACGACATTTAGTGCGTCAAGTTCTTTCAATTGATTATTGGCTATTTGCAGATTGTGTAACAATATGTGGATATTTCATTGGTGTACTTTGGAAGTTACAAAGCGTCAACTGTCATTTAATTCATAAAGTAAATAAATGTCAGCCTGAAATGAACAATATTCAAACACTATAACTCCAGTAGTTCGTTCATTCGATAAATAAATGTGTTTAAAGTGAAATAATAAAAAGAAGCAACAACAACTCATAAACCGCGGTACAGTCGCCCAAAATGGCTCTGGTATTTGCCGGAAATTCCACTGTAATTTTCTTGACTTGGGAGGCTAGTAATTTCGATTGATTAGCGTCAACACACCCTCGACGCTGTTCATTGGTTTCACGAGTACCTAATTTTGATTTTGTTTGATCTGTAAGCTCAAACTTCCGTCTATTTGCGATTATTATGTTTGCTGAGAAAAATACAAAAATGAAAAGAGTTGTAGTAATAATCCGGGTCCTAGTTTGACGAAGAAGCTCCTTAATTAGCAACTGGGATTAGAATTTATTAGAATATTCACATTCTCTTTTTAGTGTTCAAATTTACATTCTTTTTTTTTTTATCGTATGATGAATCATTGTACTATCATCACTTCCTTTGCGTGTATAGCATAATGGTTCAAATAAGAACTGAAATAAGTTTCAAACTTGTGAAAGAAAATTCTAAAAATGTATTTTTTTAAATTTAAAATGTCGTGGCAAAAAAAAATTAATTTTCCGCTTTTAATGCTACTTGTAAAATCTGTAATATCTCAGGGAAATAATTACAATAGAAAAATCTCTAGCATTAAATTCTCAAGAGTTTTTCTCAAACTACCAGTTTTTGTTTGTAGACTGTAGAGACAGATGAGAAAATAATATTATTGACACTTGACAGCCATCTTGTATTGACGAAGATCATGGATAAGATATGCCAATGAATCTCGATTCTTGGCAATTACCCTTTCTTTTTTTTTTTTTTTTCATGACTTGCCACAAATGTCGGCTATTTGAGATGTTCTAAGAAAATATTTATTTTCAAATGCATGTATTTTTTTAAAAATACGTTTAATTTTCTGAAATATATACACATATTGTAAGTAAAAAGAACATTAACAGATTTTTAGTGTTATTAAAAGCAAACTGACAAGGTAATAGCTTTTTTATTCTTAACACCTGTTTTTTGTTGTTGTTATTCTTCCTGTTGATCAAACTTCAATTGTGCCATTCCACCTAAACTGACAAAAGAAACAAAAATATTTTACAATCACAGCTGACATTGACGTCTCATGTAGTAATTACCAGTCGTAGCACAAATAGCTACATTTTTTGTGCTAAAGAAAGTAGTAGATATAACATTTTGGGTGAAATCTGAAATAAATAAAAAACCTAAGTGTAATAACCGATTCCGATATCACAGAGAAAGAAGAAATTCTTAGCTCGCGATGAATTACTGAGAGTACGCTCTCTTTTAGTGGCAAAAAAGGTGTGTGCCGTAACAGTAACACGTTCAATACTATACCGCTGTTACCCTTAATTACATTTACTTTTCTTTTTTTTATATAATTTAAAATAAAATTATCAAATTAAATTAGTTTGCTGTTGTATAGGCGTATAAAAGTTGGATTGATATGAGTTTGTGATCCTGGGTTTCACGCTGTTTGCGATCGTCAGACAAACTGATTAATGATTAATTCTTAAATTTTGGATTTATATATGGTTACGTATTTATATTATGTGGATGTTGTCAATTAGACGAGTTGTGATATTTTTCCACAAAATTTAGTTGGGCTCGGTTAAAAATATTCCTCATCATCATCTATTACCTTTTGTTTCTGGCAGAAGCACAAACGCGTGAAAAGAGGTCTTGGGATAATACAGGCAAATTTCTTTAAGCCCTTCTTGACTGATTCTAGAGAAGAGTAGTGCAAGGTCTTTCTGATTTCAGGATAAAGGTGTAATTTATGACACACACGCAAACGGTATTATTTTTCAAAAGTGCATATTTTATTTTTTGCATTATTCATAAAGCTCTTTAAACAGTGTCGTTATTTCAGAGTAGAAAGCTTCTTAGGACATTTTGATTTATACATCAAGCGGGTGAACAAGAAAAATCGTTTTGTCTTTCTCTTCCTTGCATTGATTGAATACTTCGTTACACGTGCACACTTTACTTGTCCCGTTGTCCGTGCAGTGTTTGATGATAAAGCCGGCATTCAAAAAACAACATTACAATGGGAAAAGAAAACAAAATGGATGTACGAAAATTTGAGATGTACTAAACAACGTTGAATCGCGATTTTCAAATTGTTATCTCTTTCGCATCCTTTTTTGTAACGTTCGTGTTGGTAAGCATTACTCGACGCAATCGTCATCACCCAGAGATAGAGATCACCGGCAGTGGTAAAGATAGTTGCTGAAATTAAATATAAGTTACAATATTTACTTCTTTCTTCTAAGAATCTCTACAACTGGAGGTTTTTTTTTTTCTAACAGTAGCATTTAAAAAAATACATGCGGTAAAAAATAAGAAAATAGAAAGAAAGAAGAGGAAAGCCATCAGCTGGCCGGCATGTGAACATTGTCTTTAAAATTGAAGGAGGGTGTAAAAGCACTGAATAAATTATGCAAATTACTGCTACTTTTCCGCTGAATCTTAATGCCTTATATATTATCCTTGGTCCTGGGCCAAGCATTGCTGTTAGCTCCGCCCTCTTTTCCCTCGCAAGCAGCAGCAACAACCATCTTATCGATTGCATTTATTAACACGTTCTCTTTCTTTCATTTATTTGCTTTCTTTATCACTTCTCCTCCCTTACTCACATACTATTCTTTTCATTATCTTTTACTTTAAATTATATTCCTTATTTGTCTATTTTACTCATTTTTTTCTATAAGCTATATTATTTCTTTCTCTTTCCCCTCCTTGGTGAATTTTCTTTTATCTTCTTGACACTCTCATTTCAATTTTATTCCCATTGAATCCGAGCGAATAACAAAAGACAGGAAGTTGTGGAGAGCCATATCATTCACGTAGCATATAAATAAGAAATTCGAGCCGACTTTTATCCGTTGGCTCAGTTTCTCTCTTCCTCAATTAAGTCTTCGTCCTTTTTTTTCCTTTCCGCTCTCATTTCCTACTGTTTCTGTCTTTTCTATCTACCGGTGCTCTTCTTTTTTTCCTCTTCCCCTTGTTTAACCGAAGTACTGCTTCTCTCTCTCTCATATATCCATTCTCTTTCTATATTGTTTTCTTTTCTTTTTTTCTTTTTTTTTGTGCTATTTCACTCTTCATCTTTTGAACTTTTCCCGCAATATTCCGCGATTTGTAAATGAGCTACTTCCTATTTGATACGGAGAGATTTCAATCCTTATTATTATTTTTTAATTTATTTTGTTCCCATAGTAATAAAAATCAATTTCTTTTTATTTGATGTTGCCTAGATTTCTGAATATTTATACTTTCCATCCTCATCATCACATCTTCAGATTGTCTATAAAACACATTAAGTTTCTTAATTCTTTAATTAATCTTCATTGAAAAATCTTAAAGTTGTTCAAAAACAAGAATCAGTAGAGAGTTGCACTGTAATTTACAAAGTGTAGTACTGCTTAGCTTATGATTTGAAGAACCTAAGCGATGTTTGAGAATGCTTCTCTCACAATGAATGAATGAATTAATTATTTTAGCCTTGCACTACATCATCAATTCGGTAGTAGTAGTAGTAGTAGTTCAAGAGGAAGATGTCTATTTATGCAGAAAACCGGCTGCTAGGTAACAGAGAGAAACCATTTTTGCCGGCTTACTAGAGAAAGAATAGTAGTTACCACGTTCTTGCCATTTCAATATCATTGTTTGAAATGCATTAGAATCTAGATACAAACTATTTGTCCCCCCCCCCCTGCACTTAATGAAAACAATCTTTTAGTTTTGTTTTCCTTATGCTAGGGTCGAATTTGAGTTGAATGAATAAATAAAGATGTAAAAAGGGAAAAACACTTCTTTTTTTTTTCTTTTTCTTTTTTTAACAATATTTTCTATTAAAAATTGATCTTTGATTACACTCATACTGTTCATTTCATCGCTTCTTATCGACTGGAATTCTCGACAGCCTGCTTCTGGTCAGTAAGTTTTTTGTTTTTTTTTAATATTGGAGTGGCAAAAAATAATTGATTTCTGGGTTCACAATCTGTTTCATTTGTGTGGGGGTTATCGAGAAATTGAACTGTCTTTTTAGATTTCGTAAACAGCACCGAGCTACCAATATCTTAGTATTACTTTCCGCTCCAGTTTAAAAAATACTGTTTTTTTTTATCATTTATTCAGGACTCCCTACATACCATCATTTTGCAATTAAATGTGTCTTTTTATATAGCTTCTCAGCACACACTCTAGCCATCGTCAGTAGAAATTGGGGAGGAAAACGCAAAGTAGGAGGAGGAGTAAGAGGAAAGCAGACAACGCCCGAAACGCACCCATAGATACACATACACACCTCCTACTGCTCTATAAACTGCGTGTGCGTATATGCTCCCGTTATTTCTCTCTGTATACTTCTTGCTATCCTCTTTAATTTTGCTCTTTTCACTCCCCATCCCGCTACTCTCTTCCCACTTCGTCAGTATTGAGTGTATAGTAGTATTAATATCATTGTGAGGAGGAGGAGTAGTAGTAGTAGGAGGAGGTGTTGTTGCAGCAGTAGTAGTAGTAGTTGTTGTTGTAGTAGTAGTAGTAAGCAGCAGCGGCGGTTCGTCTGTCTGTCTCTTAAGTCATTTGGACTACGTACCACCAAGATGACCAACCGGACGCCTGTGAAGAAAGTACCCATCCATTTGCAGGTAACCTTTTTGTTTGCCACTTCTCTTTACTGGCTTGTTTGTATTGTCTTCTTTCATTCCTTCCTATTTGCCCGTGAGATTTTCTGGTGCAAAAAATGCTGGCCGGCTGTAAAAGAGAGCGAGTCGTTCTCGTCTATGAATGTGTCATGGAAAAGAAAGGCTGGGGGATTAGTTTTTAATGGTGGTTATTATAAAGATTGTTCCCCCATTTTTTGGCCACGATTGTAACTTAGATTTCGAATCGAATTAGACCTGAAAAAAGGGAAAAATAAGAATGAAGCATGTGTCATTTTTTTTCCTTACCGATTCTTCAACTAGTAAATGAATAATTCTTGTACATAGCTTTAGTTTTCGGTGTTTTTTTTTTTTCCTTTTTAGAAATACTATTTTAATTTACTTCTAATTTATTCAATGTTTTTTCTCCTTGTTCTGATGTCATCTGATGATGAATAATTGGATGGTGGTTTGGGTCATTTCTAATTGTATTTATTTTTACTTTCCGTTTTAATTTCTAAGAAAATTCGATACTTATTTGCTGTTAATGATTGCTATTATGCTGAAGATCTATTTGTTTGTATTTAATAACGATGTCAAAAACGAAGACAAAAAGTCACTTGTTCGTTAACCAAAAAGTTTAAAAATTTTTTATAACTTAAAGAATAATTTACAAAATATTTGTAGTTTACTTTTAGAAATACACTTTTCTTATCAAGTGACGATGACCTCGGTTTTGTGTTTCAATGAAATATTATAAATGTAGTTGAGTTATTGAGTTTTAAAACGTTTTGATGCAAAGTAATAAAATGATGACTGCTACTCACTATTTATCCGAGATCATTTTTTTAGAGATGATCTACATTTAAATATATTATAGTAGATTTAAAAATACCCCCCTTTTAAACAGCGAGGTGTTTTTTTCCTTTTATTTTTGTTTGTTTAATTTGTCAATCATGCTTTTTGTATTTTCATGTGCTTAAATGTTCAGTGATAAAACCAAAAAATTGTTAAATCAAGACATTGGTTGAAAAATGATGAAAAAGTGGTGATGAAGCTGCAGTGGTTGGATGCTGCAGTCATTTTATTTAAATAATTGTCATTTTACTTGCAAAAAAAACAAACTTATAGCTTCAAAGTAAAATTATAAATAATAGTAATACATATAATAATTACATTGAATTGGATTTTTTTTTAATTTATTCATTTTTAGCCTGACCAATATTTCAATTTTGTCAATGCTAATCTAAGAATTCTGTTTTTATTTTTTTTTTACTCATCAATATATTGCGATGACTTGAAATTTAAAAAAAAAAAAAAGAAATATCTTTTTTAAAAAAGTAATGACCATTATTTGAATTTTTTTTTAATTTATGAAAGATTTTTAAATAAATGTCATTATTCGTTAATATTACTGTGAAATTAAACGATTCTCAAGAAAATTGGCTAATCTATTTTTACTTTTTGTCATATCTCAAATAAAAAAAAAATTGTCTTACTCACCATTATTAGCTAGTATTGGTTTTAGTAACTACTAACCCGAACCGCAACCACTGTAGCAGCAATGTGACCGGCAAAAGCAGTTGCTCATAATAATAATATAGTCACATCCATTTTTGTAGTAGTTGCACTACTACTACTATTACTACTACTACTGAATGGTCGGAGATTGAATTTAGAGGCCTTTCAATTCCTCTGAGTACTAAAAAGTAAACGTATATAAACAGTAGTAAGTCAATTGAGTAAAAAAGAAAAAAATCTTAACAACTTATCTCCGATATTATAGTACTTTTTTTAGTCCTTTACAAGGGAAGGTAAATAAATGTATAATTTTACTAGGAAGCTGAGGTTGCGTTCTACTGAAATTTGATGGGGGGGAGGCCTTAGTTTAAATTTTGTAATTATCACCTTTTTGAATAATTGAAAAACAGAATGCTCTCTTTCTCTTCAAACAGCTTACTTTCTCTGGCTATGTATCGTTGACTTAAAGAAGGGGATTTTTTTCCTCAAAGGTTATGGTGTGGCAAAGAGCCTATCTTTCAATTGGAATTGATTTCCCAGAGTTTCTCTCTAGGTTGCTAGTTTTACGCACTACCACTGAGCTGTACGTCCGAGTGCTCATTTATATTGTTAGTAGCAAGATAGATAG